TTAATTTCCTCATAATCGGTTTCCGAAAATGACAAATATGAAACTATTTATTTGCTTTTCGTTTTGAGATAATTAAAATTGAAAAAATAAAACAAAGTTAGGCGCCACTTACTTGGCTGATATGTCGAACAGCTGTGGATATAGCTGATTGCACATAATGAATCATTAAAACAACTAAGCCAGAGTCCTCTACAAAAAATGCATGTTTGTTCTTTTCAAAAAATTCATTCTAAGTTCTTATAGAGGCTCTATAGTTATGCACTTCTAAATGTAGTCTAGATTTAATTAGATAGAGAAATTTCCTTTTTTTTTTCAATAGTTGTATTCAGTATATATTAATGTTTTATCTGATATTATTTTGTTGGTTCCGTAATATTCTTGATTTTGTTTTTCTTTTATATCACATTTATCATAGAAATAATTAGATAATACAATTGTTTTTCAATTTTTTTTTTACATTATGAAAATGCTTTTCTTACGCTATGATGTTGGTTATCTAATATTCTTAAATTTATTTTTCTTTTTTAGATAACATTTATGAGAGCAATCATTGGATAATATAAAACAATTATAAACTTAGTTCTAGTGTTAATGCAAAGACGTATCATATGAATAATTGGATAATACAATTGTTTTTCAATAGTTCTTTTTAGTATATGGAAATCTTTTTCTTTATATTATTTTTTTGATTGTCTAATACTCTTAAATTATTTTTTTTAGATATAAACTTAGTTCAAGTGTTAATGCAAAGACGTTATAAAATTTCCAGTCGTTTGAGGAATCAATTAAATGAATAGAATTGCTTTTTTTCTAATGATTGTATTTAATATATAAAGATATATTAGCATATATTATCTTATTGATTTTGTAATATTGATAAATTCATTTTAGATTATATTCGTTGTGGTAATAATTGCATCATAAAGACAAATAAATTAAAATTTTAATTATTCAAGAATTAAAAACAAAAATTTATATTATCAATTTCAATTGTTTGGAAGAAAGCCACTAACTTTCCGCTTTTTATAGTTTCTTTCTAAAAATCGACTACATCATCACTAAGTAGAAAAGAATATTTAGCTCAAAACAAACTTTTTGTTGGTTATGTGGTAATGTTTCTCCTTATATTATTTTATTGATTGTATAATATACTAAAATTCTTTTTTTCTTTTAGATAACATTTATTGGATAACAAAAAAAAAATTATAAAATTATTTCAAGTATTAATGCAAAGACATATGATCGGAATCATTAGAAAATGCAATCGCTTTTCAGTAGTTCTTTTAAATATATGGAAATGCTTTTGTTACTTTATTTTGCTGGTTATCTCATATTCTTAGTTTTTTTTTTTTAGATAATATTTGTGATATCAATCATTGCATAATATAAAAGAATTATACACTTAGTTCAAGTGTTAACGCAAAGACGAATCATATCAATATTTGAATAATACAATTGTTTTTCAATAGTTCTATTTGGTATATGGAAATATTTTTCGTTATATTATTTTCTTGATTTTCTAATATTCTTAAATTTATTTTATTTTTCAGATAACCTTTATGATAGCGATCATTGGGTACTAAACAACGAATTATTAACTTAGTTAAAATGTTAATGCAAAGATGTATCATATCAATAAATGAATAATACAATTGTTTTTGAATACTTCTTTTTAGTATATGTAAATGTTTTGCTTGTATTATTTCATTAATTCTTTAATATTCTGAAATTTATTTTCTTTCTTTAGATAAACTTTGTGGCAGCTACCATTAAATAGTAAAAAACAATTATAAACTTATACCAAGTGTCAATACAAACTGTATCCTAGCAATAATTGGATAATACAATTGTTTTTCAATATTTTTCTTGTAGTATATGGAATACTGTTTTTAATATTATTTTGTTGGTTATCTAGTATTCTTCAATTTATTTATTTTTTTTTACATAACCTTTATCATTGCAGTCGCTGAATAGTGAAAAAGAACTATAAACTTAGTTCAAGTGTTAACGCAAAGACGGATATTACAATTGTTTTTCAATTGTTCTTTTTACCGCATGGAAATCTTTTTCCTTTTATTATTTAGTTAATTTTCTAATGTACTTAAATTTACTTATTCTTTTTTTTTTAGATAATATTTACGATAGCAACCATTCGACAGTAAAAAAGACTTATAAACTTAGTTCAAGTGTTAACGCAAAAAAGACCTATCATATCAATATTTGACTAATACAACTGTTTTTCAATCGTTCTTTTAGTATATGGAAATATTTTTGCTTGTATTATTTTGTTGATTCTCTAATATTCTGAAATTTTTTTTTTCTTTTCAGATAACATTGCTGATAGCAATCATTCGACAGTGAAAAAGAATTATAAACTTAGTTCAAGTGTCAACTCAAAGACGGATAATATAATTGTTTTTCAATCGTTCTTTTTACTATATGGAAATATTTTCCTTTCTATTATTTCGTTAATTTTCTAATGTTCTGAAATTGATTTATTTTTTTTTTTTTTTAGACAATATTTACGATAGCAATCGTTAGATAGTAAAAAAGAATTATAAACTTAGTTCAAGTGTTAACGCAAAAAAAACCTATCATATCAATATTTGACTAATACAACTGTTTTTCAATCGTTCTTTTAGTATATGGAAATATTTTTGCTTGTATTATTTTGTTGATTCTCTAATATTCTGAAATTTTTTTTTTCTTTTCAGATAACATTAATGATAGCAATCATTGCAGTGTGAAAAAGAATTATATACTTAGTTCAATTGTTAACCCAAAGATGTATCAATCAATCTTTGAATAATGCAATTATTTTTTAATCGTTCTTTTAGCATAAGAAAATATTTTTCCTTGTACTATTTTGTTGATTGTCTAACATTCTGAAATTTTTCTTTGCTTTTCAGATAACATTAATGATAGGAAGCATTCGAGAGTGAAAAAGAATTGTAAACTTAGTTCAACTGTCAACGCAAAGACGGATAATACAATTCTTTTTGAATTGCTATTATTACTATATGGAAATATTTTCCCTTTTAGTATTTGGTTAATTATCGAATGTTCTTAAATTTATTTATTTTTTTTTTAGATAATATTTACGATAGCAATCATTCCATAGTAAAAAAGAACTATAAACTTAGTTCAAGTGTTAGCGCAAAAAAGACCTATCATATCAATATTTGAATAATACAACTGTTTTTCAATCGTTCTTCTAGTATATGGAAATATTTTTGCTTGTATTATTTTGTTGATTCTCTAATATTCTGAAGTTTTTTTTTCTTTTCAGATAACATTAAAGATAGCAACCATTCGAGAGTGAAAAAGAATTAGAAACTTAGTTCAAGTGTCAACGCAAAGACGCATAATACAATTCTTTTTGAAGTGCTATTTTTACTATATGGAAATATTTTCCCTTTTATTATTTCGTTAATTTTCTAATGTTCTTAAATTTATTTATTTTTTTTGTTTTTTTTTAGATAATATTTACGATAGCAATCATAGGATAGTAAAAAAGAATTATAAACTTAGTTCAAGTGTTAACGCAAAAAAGACCTATCATATCAATATTTGAATAATGCAATTGTTTTTCAATCGTTGTTTTAGCGTAAGCAAATATTTTTGCTTTTATTATTTTGTTGATTCTCTAATATTCTGAAATTTGTTTCGTTTTTTTAGATAAACTTCGTCGCAGCTATCATTCAATAGTAAAAAGGAATTATAAACGTATATCAAGTGTTAATACAAAAAGCATCATAGCAAGAATGGGATAATAGAATTCTTTTTGAATATTTCTTTTTTTTCTTAGTATATGGAACTGTGTTTTTAACATTATTTTGTTGGGTATCTAGTATTGTTCAATTTATTTATTTTTTTCCGTAATCTTTATCATGGGAATCGCTGGATAGTAAAAAACAATTATAAACTTAGTTCAAGTGTGAAGGCAAAAACGACCTATCATATCAATATTTGAATAATACAACTGTTTTTCAATCGTTCTTCTAGTATATGGAAATATTTTTCCTTGTATTATTTTGTTGATTCTGTAAAATTCTGAAATTTTTTTTTTCTTTTCAGATAACATTAATGATAGGAAGCATTCGAGATTGAAAAAGATTTATAAACTTAGTTCAAGTGTCAACGCAAAGACGGATAATACAATTCTTTGTGAATTGCTATTTTTACTATATGGAAATATTTTTCCCGTTTATTGTTTCGTTAATTTTCTAATGTTCTTCAATTTATATATTTATTTTTTAGATAATATTCACGATAGCAATCATTGAATAGTGAAAAAGAATTATAAACTTAGTTCATGTCTTAACGCAAAGACGAATAATACAATGGTTTTTCAATTGTTCTTTTTATGGTACGGAAATATTTTCCCTCTTATTATTTAGTTAATTTTCTAATGTTCTTAAATTTATATATTTGTTTTTTAGATAATATTTACGATAGCAATCATTGGATAGTAAAAAAAGAATTGTAAACTTAGTTCATGTGTTAACGCAAAGACGAATAATACAATCGTTTTTCAATTGTTCTTTTTATTGTACGGAAATATTTTTCCTCTTATTATTTCGTTAATTTTCTAATGTTCTTAAATTTATTTATTTATTTTTTAGATAATATTTACGATAGTAATCATTGGACATTAAAAAAGAATTATCAACTTAGTTCAAGTGTTAACGCAAGGACGGACAATACAATTGTTTTTCAATTGTTCTTTTTACTGTCCGGAAATATTTTCCCTCTTATTATCTCGTTAATTTTCTGATGTTCTTAAATTTATTTATTTATTTTTTAGACAATATTTACGATAGCAATCATTGAATAGGAGAAAAGAATTATAAACTTAGTTGAAGTGTTAACGCAAAAAAGACCTATCATATCAATATTTGAATAATACAATTGTTTTTCAATTGTTCTTTTTACCATATGGAAATATTTTTGCGTTGTATTATTTCGTTACTTTTCTAATGTTCTTAAATTTATTTATTTATATTTTAGATAATATTTACGATAGCAATCATTGGACATTAAAAAAAAAAAAATTATAAACTTAACTCAAGTGTAAACGGAAAGACGGATAAAACAATTGTTTTTCAATTGTTCTTTTTACCATATGGAAATATTTTCTGTTTTATTATTTCGTTACTTTTCTAATGTTCTTAAATTTATTTATTTATTTTTTTTAGATAATATTTACAATAGTAATCATTGGATATTAAAAAACAATTATAAACTTAGCTCCAGTGTTAACGCAAAGACGGATAATACGATTGTTTTTCAATTGTGTGTTTTACTCTATGGAAATATTTTCCCGTTTATTATTTCGTTAATTTTCTAATGTTCTTAAATTTGTATATTTATTTTTTAGATAATATGTACGATAGCAATCATTGGATAGTAAAAAAGAATTATAAAGTATGTTCAAGTGTTAACGCAAAGACGAATAATAGAATTGTTTTTCAATTGTTCTTTTTACCATATGCAACTATTTTTCGTTTTATTATTTTGTTACTTGTCTAATGTTCTTAATTTTTTTTTTTTTAGATAATATTTACGATAGGAATCATTGGATAGTAAAAAAGAATTACAATCTTAGTTCAAGTGTTAACGGAAAGACGAATAATACAATTGTTTTTCAATTGTTCTTTTTAGTATATCAAAATATTTTCCTTTTATCATTTCGTTGTTTTTCTAATGTTCTTAAATTTATTTATTGTTTTTTTAGATAATATTTACGATAGCAATCATTGGATAGTAAAAAAGAATCATAGACTATGTTCTAGTGTTAACGGAAGGACGTGTCATACCATTATTTGAATAATGCAATTGTTTTTCAATCGTTCTTTTAGCATATGGAATTATTTTTCCTTGTATTATTTTGTTGATTCTCTAATACTCTGAAATTCTTTTTTTTGTTTTCAGATAACATTAATAATAACAATTATTGGATAGTAAAAAGGGATTATAAACTTAGTTCAAATGTTAACGCAAAGACGGATAATACAATTGTTTTTCAAGTGTTCTTTTTACTATATGGAAATATTTTCCCTTTTTTTATTTGGTGAATTTTGTAATGTGCTTAAATGTGTTTATTTTTTTTAGATAATGTTTACGATAGCAATCATTGGATAGTAAAAAAGAATTATAAAATTACTTCAAGTGTTGATGTGAAGACGTTATAAATTTGTTAGTGGTGTCAGGAATGAATTAAATGAACGGAATTGTTTTTTCTAATGACTGTGTTTAGTGTTTAAAGATATTTTACCTTTTATTATCTTGTTGATTTTGTAATATTGATAAATTTATTTTAGATTATATTTGTTATAGTAATAATTGCAACATAAATAAAAATAAATTAAAATTTTGATTGTTCAGGGGTAAAAAAAGAAAATTATATAATCAATTTTAATTTGATTGAAAGAAAGCCACTAAGTTTCGGCTTTTTAAAGTTTCTTTCTCAGAATCGAGTAGATCTTCGCTAAGTAGGAAAGAAGATTTGGCTCGAAAGAAACTTTTCTGTTGGTTATCTCATAAAGCTAGGAGATAATACTCGTTTTACATCTTAGAAGTTTAAGCCGTGCTTCGTTTATACACGTGCTAAATCTCAAAGAAAAACGTTTTGTTTTTTTAATATTTTGCTTTGAAATATTTAATAACTTTTTTCATCGGATTAAATATGGCCCGAAAAAAAACAATTTCATCAAAAGTTAAAATACGAAAAGAAGCCTATAAACGACGACAACAAATTCATTCACGTGTTAGTCGTTCATGGCGAATTTTAATTTTAACGATAAAGGCTGTGAAAAGATTTTCGAGTTTCAAACATAATGTCTCAGCTGTTTCACGTGTGCCAAGATTACTCGGCATATCAGAAACGGACTTAATCGGTTCACATTGTATTAGTTTTGGGAATAACGTGAAAAAACAAGATAACTTTTCTGATTCAGCTCAAGTGAATGAAGAATTTGATGAATCAAATATAGTCGAGGATATTGTTAAGAGACTTGTATCAAAGGTTTGTCGTTTGGATAATGAACGAAAAAGACAATCAAAAAATCGAAAAGCTCAAAAAGAAACAAGAAAAACTCTTAGTAATGAAGAGCTAACAACAAAACTTCGTAGTCGGAATAAACGGTGTGAGCGGAACAATTGTCGTGAGGTTTTATTTCATCAACAACAGAGTGAACGTTTAAGAAAATATTATCGAAATAAATATCAAAACAACAATGACTTTCGTAACAGAGAAAAGGCTCGGGCAAATAGTAATATTTCCTTGAAATATCATAATAATTTCAATTTTCGTGAAAAGATGAAATCGCGTTCAAAGATTCATTGTTTTGATAAATATCATAGAGATAAGATTTTCCGTCAGAAAGTTAAAGCACGATCAAAATGTATTGTTTTTAATAAATATCATAATAATACAGAGTATCGTAACAAAGTTGTAGCACAATCAAATATGAATATTTTAAATAAATATCATACTAATTCTGATTTTCGAAATAAATACAAAGCAAATATGAAAAGTCAAGTTTTGAACAGATATTATACTGATAATTCGATACGATTCAAAATGATTGAGCGTGCATTGAATTCGTATCGTAGTAATAATACATTGATGACACGAAAGTCAAGACAGCTTTATAATCAACGTAGACGTATTCTAAAAAAATATGCCACTTTTCAAAGTCATAAATGTACATTTAAACACACCAATATATATATAGAGAATTTGAAAAAGTTTCGAAAAATTATTCGAGAAGGACCTGATTATGTTTGTATATCGTGTCGGTTAGCACTTTTTCGTAATCAGGTGATACCATTTGCTGAAGAAAAGTATATAAAACAAAACATGTCATATGACATAAAAAAACATATTCAATCTTGCTTTAAATATTCATCGTCAACAGAACAAAAGTGGATTTGTAAATCATGTTCAGACAAAATAAAGAAACGACAAATGCCAAGCCGAGCAGTTATGAATAAATTGGAAGTTTGTGAAATTCCATCTGAATTAAAAAGATTAAATAATCTTGAAAAGCATTTAATTGCTTTAAGATTACCATTTATGAAAATTGTAAACTTAACATCAGGAAAATTATCAAGTAGATTATCACAAAAAGGTACTAAAGGGCCACTTCATTGTGTGCCATCAGATGTACAAGACACTGTAACTATATTACCTCGTCCAGTTGATAAATCCATGATGGTCCGATTACAACTGAAACGACGCATAAAGTACAAAGCTGTATGGGAAGAACAATTAATAAATCCAAATGACGTAAGAGATGCACTATTTGTTTTAACTAAGATGCATCCAGCATACAAAAGTATAAAGATAAATGAAATTCATGAAAACTATCTTACATCTGATCAAGAAAAAAACTACGACAATAACGTTGAGTTAGTACTTGAACCAATGGATGTTGACACCATATCAGAAGAGACTGTCATTGAACAAACAGAAATATCTAATGAAAATAATCTAAAAAGATTAGCTTTAGGTGATATTGATAATACTATTGACAGTGATGAAGAAATAAATGAGGATGAACAAGACATTCGTACTAAATATAATATTGGTACAGATTCATGTACTCAACCATGTGATTTTAATGATTTTTTAGTCTTTGACAAAGAGCCATGCGTAGTAGCACCAGCTGAAAAAAATAAATTAAGTTCATTATTAACAGATAAAACAATTGAAGCATTAGCCTTTCCTCATTTATTTCCAGATGGTCAAGGCTCATATGACGAAGATCGTCAAACAATTCTTAAATGGAAAGAATATTGTAAAGCACGTTTATTTTCATCAGATTCTCGTTTTGCTTCAGATTCAAGTTACATTTTTTATCTACAGTATTTAGGTGACTTGAAACAAGTATACTCCGGAATCAATATTGCTTTCCGAAAAAAATTACCAATGAATGCTAAACAAAGCTTAGATGAAATGCAAATGAAATTTCTTATGAATAAAGATATGATATATCGTCATTTGCAATGTGTTCGAGGTAGTCCACAATATTGGTATAAACGTTTAAAAGACTTATTCGGAATGACACGTCAACTAGGTTTTCCAACCTTTTTTCTTACATTATCATGTGCTGATCTACGTTGGAAAGAATTCACTGATACTTTTGTACGTCACACTGGAGCTCCAATAAAAGAATCATATACATTTGAAGAAAAAACAAAACTTTTACGTGCGAATCCTGTTCTAGCTGCACGTTTGTTTGAAAAACGATTTAATACATTTATGAATTTATTTATTAAAGGTGGAGCATCGTGTCTAGGCATTATTGAAGACTGGTTTGCTCGTATAGAAATGCAAATGCGAGGTTCACCACATTCTCACATGCCACTTTGGGTAAAAGGTGCACCTGTTTACATTGGATTGCACACCGATGAAAAAACTCGTGAGGAAATCGTTAAATTTTGTGACAAATATATTACGACACGATTCCCATCATTAGAAGAAGATCCAATATTACACTATCTTGTCAAAGAATTACAGATTCATTCTCGTAATCATTCAAAGTCTTGTTTAAAATTGTATAAAATGTTGTGTCGTTTTGGATTTCCTCGGCCTGTTGCTCGACGGACATTCATTTGTGAACCATTAAAAGCTGAGAATGATGATGATAAACAAAAGTTTAAAAAAATGAAAGAAATTCTTACGGAAATGAATGCAACGATGAATAAATTAGAAAAGGAAAAAATTTTGTCATGGTCGGATTTTGATAATCTTCTAACAAAGTATAATTGGACCTATGAGGATTACGAATGTGCTCTTCGTGTTGTTCATACTAGAACGACCATGATTCATAAAAGAGAACCTAATGCACGATGGGTTAATCAATATAATGAAGAAATATTGAAAGCATGGAATGCTAATATGGATATTCAATTCGTACTTGATCCATATGCTTGTGCAAAATATCTTATGTCATATACAACAAAACCAGAACGAGAAATGAGTTTATTACTAGAAGCAACTCATAAAGAATGTCGTGATGGAAATATGTCCGTTCGAGAAGAAATGAAAAAATTAACAGGTACATTTTTTAATCATCGACAAGTTAGTGTACAAGAAGCTATTTATCGTGCAACTAAAATGCCACTAACATATTCAAGTCGAGGTTTTGTTTTTGTACCAGCACATTCAAATAGTTGTAAATTTTTAAAATCACAAAATATATTAAAAGAATTGGATCCAGATGACGAAAATATATATATGTCTAACTTAGCTGACAAATATTTTGATAGACCAGAAGAACCGGAATTCGATATTTGTATGGCAGATTTTGCTTCTGAATATGAAATCATATCGATTAATAAGAACATTAAAAATCCAAAGACACCAATTAAACGATTGCAAACATTGAATTTCGCTATTAAAAAACGTTGTAATCGTAGTGCTATTATTCGGTATCCATATTTCAATAGAGAAACAGATAGAGAAAATTATTTTGAAAATCTTCTTTCTCTCTATTTACCGATAAGAAGTCGAAATGAATTAAAAAAACCTTATGAATTATTTTATCAAATTGGTGAAGTTTTTGATGCTCGACAACAATGTATAAGAAAAGTAAAAGATATTGTGCATGAAAACCAAAGAAAATATGAAGCTCATGTCAAAGAAACAGGTGAAACAGAATCATTATTCAATGAATTATCATTGAATATGAAAGACGACGAATGGGCTGAAATTGTTGCTAACAGAGAAAAAGATAGTATGTGGTCAAGAGAAATTGAACAAGAAGATAATCCTGATTTCAATGTAATTCATAAAAGTAAAAATAAAAAAACGTTCATTGACTTGAAGCAAACTTTTGCTACTACAGATGAAATAAGACCCTTCTTAGAATCGATGAACTATGAACAACAAGAAGTATTTTATTATGTTCGAGAATGGTGTACAAAACGTTTACATAATCCTGATGTCGAACCTCTTCGTTTGTTCATTACGGGAGGAGCAGGCACAGGTAAAAGTCACCTTTTGAAATGTCTTCATTATGAAGCAACAAAGATTTTTTCTCGAAAAAAACACTTAGAACCTGATGAAAATATTGATGAAATTCATACATTGATTACAGCTTTCACAGGTGCAGCAGCTGTCAATGTTGGTGGAGTTACTATTCATAGTGCATTCGGGATTGGCACTCAGTCTAATAGCTTAAATGATCATTTGTCTTGTGATAAACTGAATAGCTATCGATGTAAATTGCATTCTCTCAAATTGCTATTTGTTGATGAGGTTTCTCTCATACAAGCAAATCTATGGGGTGCCATGCACTCTCGTCTTACGCAAATTATGGGTATACATTCAAATACAGCTATTTTTGGTAATGTTGGAATAATTGCTATTGGTGACTTTTATCAATGTTCACCTGTAGCATCTTCAAGTATTTATTCTTCTTTACTTTGGTCTGATCATTTCGAATATGTTGAGCTTAACATCAATGAAAGACAAAAAACAAATGTTTCATTTTCACAAATGCTTAATCGTATTCGAAAAATTAAAAAAAAAGAAGATATGAGTAAGGAAGATCGTGATGTGCTTGAAAAATGCCATCAACGTTATTTAAACAAAGAATATCATCCAGAAGCATTACATCTTTTTGCTAAAAATGCTCAAGTCGATGCACATAACGAGGAAATGATAGAGAAGATTTGTACTAATATTCGAACCTTTTATGAAGTCGATAGCAATGAGAAAGAAATAAAACAAGGCGTTTCTAAACATTCAAGAAAGAATAATAAACCTCTAAGACTTGCTAAAAATGCTCGAGTAATGATAACAAAAAATATTTCTGTAAACGATGGATTAGCAAATGGTGTAACAGGTCGTATTATAGATTTTGTGAACAATAATAATACAGAGATCTCTCGAATAATAATTACATGTGATTCAACTACAGTTGGACGTCTGCATCGTATTAGTTGTCCACATTGTCATGGAAAAGATACAATTTGTGTAACACGAGAAAGTGACACTATTGATCAACAGGATTCCGATTTCCGTTCAAGGAAATCAATAAAACAATTTCCTCTACGTCTTAGTTGGGCGATGACTGTACAGGGTGGTAAATAATATTATTCCAGGGGGGTAACACTATGATCTCGAATCGGAGATATCATGAATTTTATACCAAATGAAAGCTCGTGAAAAATGGGGTTTAGTGATAGTAAATAGTAAGACTTTGAAGAACTTTCTTGTATTAATTTATCAAACGTTACGATTTTTATCGACATAAAATATTATAAAATCAGTTCATCGAAAAAGTTCGGGGCTAAACTATATGTTGTACAACTGTTTATTTTCTTATTATTTATTGAGTACAATCAATAATCAGTATGACGACCATTAGCACTCTTTACTGCACGAAGTCGAGATGGATACGAACATAAAAGAGCTTCAAACAATTCGGTATTTTCTTCCATGTCCGTCAAAACATCCGCAATGTGCTTTTTAAGTGTGTCTTCACTATATCGATTATGTCCAGTTTCCGATAACATTTTTTGTTCAACTTCATCTTTCATTATTGATCCAATATGTTCCGCCGCATTGAGATCGGGCGAATTACCAGGCCAAATATCATTGCCCCAAAACTCGATTTTGTTATCTCTAATCAGATGTTGAGTCATGTTTGCTCGCATACACGGTGCTTTATCGTGAACAAATATCACATTATCCAGATCAATTACGTTTTCCTCGTCGGTGAGGAATGGAAATACGTGTTGCATTAAAATAATGTCACGAAAATATTGACCGGTCCAAGATTCACCTTTGTCTTTAATCACCCAATGCATTTTTTTCGCGGTGAAAATGATAAAAATACCGATACACGCTTGGTTTTTAACCATTTCGCGATACCTTTCATCGTCTTCAATATCTTCAACACTTTTTGCCCAAATCCTATCATTTTGATAATTTGGTTTGCGAACTGTCCAAACATAAAATTCATCTGATGGTGCCAGATGAAGAAAATCTTCTTCAGTCCAATCTTTCAACCAATCACAGAGCCATAATCGATCTGATATATGAGTTTCAGATTTTAACGGTCTTGAAATAACATGAAAAGGCTTTAATCCTTCCCTACGACGGTAGTTATTAACTGTTTGTCGAGTAACATATTCTTTTTGTTTCTTTGCAATCTCTTTCGCCACGACAGAACCGCTTTTCCGTTGGTGACCACTTGCTTCACGAATAATGTCCTGAGCAGCTCTCGATAACTTGAGTTTAGGACCAGCATTCGAATAATCAGCAAAACATTGGTCACACGATTTTTCCCACCATTCTGTAACAAATCGAGTCGTACGGTGAATTTTGTCGGCAATCCATTGTCTATTTATAAATGTTGCACCAGCATCACGAGCTTCTCGGAAAGTAATGCATTTAATTCTATCAATCATTCTTTGTTGTTCGGTATCATAAGCGCCAGCCATTTGAAATAACAAACGAAAAAACACTGAGATTTCACTCGACTATAACTTTCAGACAGTCCGAGAACGAAAAAATTTTTCAAATAACTAGTATCACGTGGAGAGAAGAACAGAACGCCAAAGAACCATCTTATTGTGTGAGTCATAGTCATATATCATCATCGTTATCATTTCTCTTTCGTTTTCATAAAAAATGTTCGTTTTCAATGTCTCAAAATGTATGAAAAATGATTTTTAACGTGTTTTTGAAAGAAAATTTCGTTGTTTTTAAAAATTTGGTACACGAAAGTTCTTCAAAGTCTTACTATTTACTATCACTAAACCCCATTTTTCACGGGCTTTCATTTGGTATAAAATTCATGATATCTCCGATTCGAGATCATACTGTTACCCCCCTGGAATAATATTATTTACCACCCTGTACATAAAGCTCAAGGTATAACAGTTGATCAAGTTGTAATTAGTACAAAAGATTTGTTTGGCACTGGCATGGGTTACACAGCGTTATCACGTGTTCGAACAATAGAAGGTTTATTCATTGTTGATTTACATGTTAATAAATTCTACTGCAACGAAAATATCGATAAAGTTCTTTCTCAAATGAAAGAAATAAAAAGAAAAAAATATATAGTTCAAGAATGTTCTGAGATTGTAAATATTTTGTTTCATAATATTGAAGGATTAAAATGTAATTTTAATGCACTTAGAAATCACCATGTAACTGAAAAAGCAGACTTAATTTGTTTAACAGAAACATGGTTACGTGATAATACTAATCTGAATAAATTCGAGATTAATGGTTATAATCTTATTCATAAATCAAGATTATCTTCATTTTCAACAACCCACCCACTCAATTCTCAGAAAGGTGGCGGTATTGCTGTATATTTTCGAGAAACATTTCCTATTAAAGAAGTAGAATCAAATAAGTACTTAAACCTCGAATATATTACTTTCGAAACTAAAAAACACAACATTATTATCGTTACTTGTTATCGATCACCACAACAAAATAAAAACGAGTTTTTGATTAATCTAACTCACTATTTAGAAGAAATTGGTATTCAAAAGCATATCATTCTTATTGGCGATTTCAATGAAAACACACTATCTAATAAATCAAAAACTATTGAAAAACAATTAAACATTTTAGGATTTGTAAATATGTTTAAAGATTTACCTACTACAAATAGCTTAACTAGTCTTGACTGTATCTATTCGAATTTCATATCAAATAAACATGAATACCATAGTGTAGTTGGCACGTTCTACAGCTTTCATGATGCATTACTTTTGTCTATAAATTTTCAAAATAAAATGTTAAATACGAATATAGACAACAAATTAATTGTTGAAAACCAAATGGAAACAGAGAGTTTATTTGAAAAAATCTTAGAAGTTACTCAAATTCCGAAAAAAACTCATAAACGGAAAGCAAAATCAACAGAAAAATCACACAGTCATCATCATAGAAGAAAGCTTTTTAAAAAAGATATAGATAGAACGAAATGTTTCAAAGAAAAACAATTAATATTTCTTCAAAATTTAAATAATATAAGAGAGAAGAGTATATTAGAAAAATTCTCAAATATATTCAGTTTATCTGAACAACTTGCAAATATTGGTTTAAAAAAAATTAATGTGTTAGGAGATGGAAATTGCTTTTTTCGAGCAATTTCACATCAACTTCATAGGCACGAGAGAGACCACGTTCATATTCGTTCTATAGTAATCAGCTATCTCATAGAAAATGCAAACGATTTCGAGTCTTTTATTGATGAAGAATATACAACAATAGAGAACTATATTGCAAGAATGAGTCGAAAATCAACATATGCTGATCATCTAGCAATTTCAGCAACTGCAGTAGTTTTAAATAAAAATATTATAATACATGAATTAGGTAAAATACCTATATTGGTTCCTGGATCAGATTTCATTGAGCATCAATTACATATATGTTACGATCCTTTTATTTTACATTATGATAGCGTTCTATCATTTGATGATAATTCTGCGTTTCTTTCGGCTGAAGATATTTTAATAACTTAATTTTTTAAAATGTAAACTTTTCCACTACTTATATTTAAATGTAATTCTTTTTATTTTCACACTTAAATTTAGTTTCTAATTTTTTTTCATTATGTCTTATTATACTTGTTTGTTTTTTCTTATAATCTTCATAAAACAACATTATTTATGTATGCATATAGTAGTAGTGCTCAATGAAAAAAAAAAAAAAAAAAAAAAAAAAGTCTATCTATGTATATCTCATGTATCCGCCACTACAAATTAAAATTCTGTTACGTTTCTTCTAATCATTCATTCACATAATCTCATTAAACCAGTTTCACTTGCCACTCGCGCGAATTCTTCAACATTTAATCGTCAAATTATACACTCGACGCAACAAGTAAGTGATATTTCTCTTTAAAAAAAAAAAAAAAAATTTCATGATACTTTTGTTATCATCAGTGCAACAACTTAAATCAATGAAATGTCCTCTAAAATACAGTCTATAAAAATTCAATAGAAATTTCTAAAAATTAATTTTCACTATGTCTAGGTACAATTACATTTCTCGGATGCAATGTACTCTTCCTAAAACAAACAAACTATTTTTTCATACCGTCTTTCACAAAAATAAATAATAACTGTAAAGAAATATTTGCTTACTTTCTGTTATGAAAAGAAAAGAATAGCTGCTTCTTATCCTTTATAATAAAAATAAATATTCCAAGACAATTTTCAAATTAAAACAAAAAATTATTATAGTTTTTTAGTTAAAACAATGGCCATTAACTATTCGAATAATGACACAATAATGGGTTATATTACAAATATATCAAATGAAAATAAAAAAAAAAAATATTTTATGAAGTTCACAATGTTAGCTGAAAATAATGAAACAATTGACGGTTGGGTTTTTAGTAACGTAGCTGGTATTCTATCAACACCACTTGGTTTGGCCTTGGACAATTCATTTAAAAATAAAACTGGTTTAAAACTATGGGGATCACTTGAAAGTAACAATGGTAAGTAAAATATATTGTACATATCAAAATGATCTAATAGAAAATAAAATCGTTTGTGTGAAAATTAGTTTTGCTAGATATTTATTAAAAAAAATACATACTCTATTTATATATACATATTGAATTAACAAAATACACATAAGTAGATATACGATATCGATAAATAAACGATGTTAAGTGGAAAAGTTGTTATCCAATCATAAGAATTAAAAAAGGCTTAATTAAACTTGTTTTTCAAATAAAATAAAAAAAAAGATAAAAATAAAACATTTCGATTTGTGATAGTTTATATAAAATATTTCTTGTTATATCCATGGGAAAAAAAGTCAAAAGCTATTTAAAAGAAACAAAAAATTTATTTTATATAATAAAATTGGTGAAATCACATATAATATGTAATTTACTAGGTACATCAACTTTTCGTATGCAATCATGGTCAAAACATCAATCGATTAATCTCAGTTTTTATCTTCAAACACCATCAAATAATATTACATGTATAACAGATGCATTAGCAAGTAATGAACTTACTACAATTCGTGTATCCGTAATTGATATTCGACCATCAGAAAATTATACAAGTAAAGGAATAACCCGAACATCAACATTTATATTAATTGGAGATCAAACAGCTACATGTTACTTATTAGTAATCGATTTATCACCAGGTGTATTTGAAATACAAAAAGCATATGATATTACAAAAATTCGTAAAAAATTTTTCAATGGCTCTTATTTATTGACAACTACAATCGACACACATATATCATTATCTAACACGGTATGCAAAAATAAAATTTACCATTTTCATATAACAAAATAATTTTTTTCATCTTTAGACAGTAATGCCTAATATTGATAATGTTACACAAACAATGAATATAAACTTAAATGATCGAAATACAATTACAACAACTATAAACGAAGTCGGACAAATTCGACGATTATACAATTGTTCAACATGTCAAGGTGATTTAAATGAAGTTAAAAATGCTGCTGCATTATTATTTTGTGAGAAATGTCATCGACATATTTTGAAAATCAATGTTACATTACATGTATCTACTACAATAGTACTACAAAAAGGTATGTTTTTTTAAATTTTTTAATCTATATTTGAATGATCAAAATTTAACTTTATTTAGGAGAAGAAAAAATTATTTTATTCGTTAACGATCAAACACTTTGTGAACTACTTGCTATAATTGGTGTAACAATTAACATGCTTGATACAGATATCGTAATTGCTATGATGTCCAGTACCAAGTTAACTTTCGAATATAGTGAATTACGTAAAGAATTACTTGCAGTTACAAAACCAAATTAAAAATGTAAGAATCAAAGTACGTTTACAATCTTATCAAATTAACTTATCAATATGACTAATTGTTTGTATTTTGTAGAAAAAGAAAACATACAACTACAAAAAAACTTAATCGATCATCGATTTAAACATTCATCATCACAGTACCTTTTTTTCACATTATTTTTTTTTTCAATTATACTTAATACATTATATTAAAATATATAAAACAATAACTAAAATAATAAAATATAATTAAAATTAATCATATCAATTTCAGATATAAAAAAACTAGATCATTTTTAATTTTCAAATAAAATGGAAACATCAACATCAACATCAACATCAGCATCAACATCAATATCAACATCAACTTCAACATCATCTGAATCCATTTCAACAAATATATCGGCGTCAAATTGTATTATTACTGGTAATACATTTTTCATATATAAAGACTAACTTATATTATTACTCATTACTTTAGAAAAAAATATAATCGGTACAGTTGTTACTGTTAACAGATTAAAACATTATGCATTTATTAAAAGGTTCGTTTTAATTTGAATAATTTCTAAAACCTTTTTTATTTTTGATTTAGAAATGATAACGATTTACATCAAGATATATTTGCACGTGATGTCTCAATAAAAAAAAATCAACATAAACAAACATTTTTCATTTCTGATCAATGTAAATTCGATATAAAAAAAAGTAAATTATATTTTACCTATTACACATAGTTACAATACTCAATTATCTTTTTACTTATAGCATCACGAGGTTTTGAAGCTATCAATATCACCATTATACAACGTAATATTGATAGTATTGGAAGATTAAAAAAAATTTCAAAAAAGAAGACGAATGATCACCAACCAAAAAAAGATTCATATGCATTATTTCAATCAACAATGTAAAACAAATTTTTTTTTGTTTATTTCTTAATTTTTTTTATTATGTGTTAGAACTAACTTGTTTCGTGAAGCTTTAAAAGAAAAATAGAAAATCATGCAACATCTTCTCTTCATACAAAATCAATATATTTACAACGACCAACTTCATTAATTCAATTAGCATAAACTTAATCTTTTTCTACATTGTGTTAAAACTTTATATGTATAAAATTGATAACTTAAGTGTATTAAATAAAATTAAATCAATCAATGAATTGAATATTATAACTGCACAACTATAGTATTCTAAATTTTCAGTTTGAAAAAAAAATGAAACAATACTATTCATACTAGAATTAAATAAATACAAAAAACAAAAATTAACCGTAAAGAAAATGGAAATATTGATACACAGTGCCCTGAATTTTGCTATGCCCGCTTTTCATTTTGCTTTCGACTTTTATCAGCTGATCAACACAACCTTCCTCTATACATTAATAACGAAAACAAACTAATTCTAGTAGAGTCAAATATTTTCAACCGAAAAATATTACATAATCAATAATAAACACGCTTATTCGTTGTCTTTGAAATGGTTTTATCTTTGATAATATAGATTCAATATTTATTATCGTGAATACAAGAATAAAAAAAATCATATCCATTTAAACAATATTGAAATAAACGTAATTATATTTCATCTGAATTCTTTCATATTCACCAACGTTTTTATAAGAACTCTTTTAAAAAAAGAATTTTAAAAATAAAATTCTTAATAAAAAGATGAAAACCTTTTAAAGCACATTAATTGCATTGTGTATTGAATCTAAAAAAACATTATGTTAATTGTCAACGATATAAATATCTCATACCATATTGTGAAGTATCATCTGACAAATAATTTATCAACGTAAAACATTCATGTAATAGAACTGAAATAAAAAAAGGAAATTGATTGATAAGAAATTCAAATTACCATAAATTTTGAATCGTCGTTCATTTTGATAAATAATACTAAATTGTAAAATTTTCTCGTTCTTGTAAAATCATTTAAATCAATTGAGTTCGCAATCTTTTTTTTCTTCTATTTACGTAAAATATGTTGGAAATAATGGTTCAATATCTAAAAACAAAGAATTTATTTAATTTAAATAAAAAAAGTTTAAGAAACATTTTTTCCTTCATTAATATTGTGATATAAAATGTTTATAAAAATTGCTCCTTGCTTTATGTAATTTAACACCATAAGACATTCAATCAACATGTCCTCATTTTATAAATGCAAAACCATCGCATTCATGATAATTATAATCAGATTTAATATATTTTTAAATCTATATATCGACAACATATTTAAATATGAATATAATCATTAGTTGCAAATCCTACTCTTAATTACATCACTTACAAATGATGATAAATCGATTGTTCACAGTTATGACTATAAATCATTTAAACGATTTGAATTGAGAACGATTGAATTGTCAATTAATATTTCAAATGATCGTTAATCATATATCGATTATTTACATTTTCATCGATTAATAATAATATTAAGAAAACCAATTTTTTTTTAATTTTCCTAAACGATCGAAACATATTCGAAAATAAACATTCGAAACCGTTTTTATTTAATAATAGATTTATAAAACTCTAAATAAAACATATAATTTAATTTAAATCTATATCGAGCAAATAAAATTGAATGTCTCATATTTATCTCAAATGTTTTTTTTCGAATAAAAATGATCTAAATATATTAAATAAAATCGATTTTTATATTAAAGAATTTTAACAAGTATTTTAAAATAAAGTATGTTTTATATAGAAACATAAAACTTTTTAAGTTTAAATAAAATAAAAAAAAAAAAAAACTCTTGTGAAATCTTAATTTGATAAGAAGTGAGAAACAAAATAAATTGAAAAAAAAAGTACATATGATACTTAATCGTTAACTGAGACAAAACAATGTCGATTAAAATGACATATACATATAATGAATATAAATAAAAACGTTGTTATAATAAATGTTTATCTTTAACTAAATAATCTAATTTCGCTAATTTAGCATAATCATAAATAAAAAAAGAAGGAATACGTAAATGAAACGAAACAATAAGATCATTTATAGTTGATGGATAAACTGTTCTGGTTAATACATGTATTGTCGAAATAAATGAATATGAATCTTAAGGTGAACATTTATCTAATTAATTTTTTTGTATTTAATTTAGGATTTATTTCATTTGATGTTCTTTTATATTGATAATCGAAATAAATTAATTTATATTAAGTTTCACCAAATATATCAATCAATATTTTTGTATATTTTTTCAAATGTATTTGATAATATATTAAATGCATTCTCAACTTGGTCAATTTTTGATCGAATTGAATCAAGTAAATTGGTCATATCTTCCTATTTATCTAATTTATCAAAAGAAAAAAAACAATTCTAAATGATTACCACTTTTTAATAAACGTAATATTTATATTGGATTATTATTATATGTTGTTATATGAGAATATCGTCTACATGATACATATAATGACACAGCTAACCAATGTAATTGATCTCCTTCTAACACATAATAATTACGAATATGTTCATATCAACGCCATGCGTGTAACTATGTTTCCATATTCATATTTAAATCAAGAGATAATTTTGAATGTAACATTTCAACTGATTCATCGTTATTATTTGACATTTTGCTTTCTCTTTTTTCTAAAATAATAAAAAACAATGATTGACATTGATTTAAATCAAAAAAAACTTAGATTAATAAATCAGACAAATGAAAATCTATTGAAAAATACACTTGAAATTGTTTTTATTTGTAATTTCTTTTTCAATAACATACATGCCTGTGTTTGTTCATTGACATATTATTGTAAGGACAATTCCATCATGTTTATATTGGTGTATATTTAGTTTTGTTTTTTGTCTTTCGTTCGTCTTTTTTTTGGCAAATCGATTCAATCGACGAATGAATAAGTATTTGTTTAACTTAGTTCATTGCAGTCATCATCTACAAGAAAAAACACAAAAAAATCATGAATAATGTTCATTCTTTTTTTAAATTGAATTGATAATATTAGTCAAACCAACAAAGATTGGCTTGATAGATAGACACACACTAAATAGAAACCTCTAATATTAAACATATTATTTTAATTAACAAATCGAAAACAAAATAACCACGATATATATATATACTATCATGATTTATATTCGTTGCTCTTTCTTTTTAACGGAAATATTTTTTTTACTTTAAAAGTTAAACGTTCATTTATTCATGTTTAACAATATTTGTTATTTGATATTGTTCTAATTGAAATAGAAAATGCTTCCATAATATTCTTAAATATTTTAAAGAAAACAAAGATAAAGTATTCACCAAAATTTAATATCGTTTTTCGTGTAATTAACAAATAAAAAGAGTATTATTGAATTAAATCAACGTCTTGTTTCAATTAAATTTAGAAAAAAATAATGATGACGAATAATTACTGAATCATTTAATATATGATAAATGAAAGTATTTTTAACAAAGAAAACTAAAGGAAGATTTCTATTGGTTCGTTTCAAATGATCTTCTTAAAACAGAGTCGATTTTTTTTCTTTCATACAGATTTTCTCTTAGAATTTTCTCGAAATTAAAAATAATATTTCAATGAAAATACTAAATATATGTTCGAATACAGATATATTAGTTTTGATTTCAATTGATGACTAGTGAAATCGTTTAAATATTATATATATTTATTATTTATTTATTATTTTAATAAATGATTCTTACTTTCAAAAACTATCATTTTTCATTTATATATCAGTAAATCGAATCAATTTTTCCTATAATTCAATTGCCCGTTGTATATTTATCAAAAAAACATAATTCAATCATAGTCAATATTGTTTTGTTAAAATGCAAAAAAATCTTTATTATAATAATAATTATTTCGAGTTAAATTTATTGGGATAAATTTCATAATATATATCGATGATCTACTTCTCATTTGCAAATATAAATTCAATTAACGTTTAACTATAGTAGATAATTTTCAAACATTTTTTCTTTTTATTATACAAATGACAAATCTTAGCAAGTTTTCATAAAAAAAATT